TGGCGGCGGCGGGTGAGCGCGGCCCGGCCCGTGTTTTGTTTCCGTTTCTCCCCCGGCGGCTCCGCGATCCCATTTCCGTTTCGGGTTCAAACAACGACACGGAGGCGCCGCGGGAAGCGGGGCCTGCGGGGACGCGGAGCCTGGGCGGGCGCGGGGAAGGGGCAGCGGGATGAAGGAGCGGGAGCTCCCGGCGCGGGGCTCCGAGAGGCCTCCCCGGGGCGGGACAGCCCGTCCCGCGCGGAAAGCCCCGGGCTGGGTGGGAACCTGCGGGCATGTGGCGTCTGGTGGCTCTCGCCCTGTACTCGGCACTGGGGAGGCACCTCCAGTGCGGTGTCCAGGTCTGGGCCCCTCACTGCAGGAAGGACACTGAGGGGCTGGAGCGTGTCCAGGGAAGGGAACGGAGCTGGGGAAGGGTCTGGAGCACAAGTCTGACGAGGAGCAGCTGCGGGAGCTGGGGGGGCTCAGCCTGGAGCAAAGGAGGCTCGGGGAGACCTTATCTCTCTCTACAACTACCTGAAAGGAGGTTGTGGGCAGATGGGGGTCGGTCTCTTCTCCCAGACAACCAGCGACAGGACAGGAGGACATCAGGCTCCACCTCTGCCGGGATAGGCTTACAGTGGATATCAGGAAGAATTTCTTCACAGAAAGGAGGATTAGATATTGGAACGGGCTGCCCAGGGAGGTGGTGGAGTCACCATCCCTGGAGGTGTTGAGAAAATGACTGGATATGGCACTCAGTGCTCTGGTTTCATTGACAAGGTGGTATTTGGGCATAGGTTGGACGGGATGATCAGAGGTCTTTTCCAGCCTAATTGATTCTGTGATCTGGCACAGTTTGGTTTCTGGTGCTCTGCCAGGTATATTCTGCACAGCCACAGCTCCCAGTTCCCGTCTATTTTCTCACCTCGGGCTGTGGATAAGGAAGGTAAACACGTGAAATCTGGTGTGACTTCCCCCCACCCTGTTCACTGGTCTGCTATCTTTGTTGTAAATCTGAACTGGCTGAGTTGTAAAAGCTGACCTCTAAAGGACAGGCTGTCTGCTTTGTTACCTACTTTCTGTTGGTTAGTTACAGTTAGGATAATAATAGGGATGGATAGGACCATATGGTGCGTATGTGCTGCACACACTGGAGCTTCTCGGGAGCATAGATAACTCCAGCGACTGGACTTCAGTATCAGCTGATAATGCATCTGGGCCTCAGGACTGATCACAATGACCTAGTGCAATAGCAACCATTCTGCCAGCAGAATTTGTGCCCATATCTCTTCCACAAATCCAGCACAAATGCTGCTGTTGCAGTGTTCCTACCACTTTATCCTCCTGGCAAGCCAGGCTCTTTGAGCCTTCAAGGAAGGCTCAGGCAGCTCAGTCCTGTGTGAACCTGTGTTCACTTTCAAACTCTGCATCATCCTGTAGCAGCAAACTTTGCTAGACTTCATGTGAAATGTTTGTATCATCAGAAGTCTCTTTATTCTACCATAGAAAAGTCTGAATAATTTTCCCTAATATATTTCTCTGAAATTTAATGAGTTTACATCTTTCCATCATGATGTTGGTTCTTTCCACCCGTCATCTCCCTTCCTCGTGTCAGTGGAAGCATCTTTCTGTGCCTGTGCTCCCCTCTCCCACCTCCCCAGGGTTCCAAAAATACACCAGAGCCGGAGAGATGCAAACACAAACTGCCTTTGAAGAGCGAGTGAACAATTACTAGTCCATCTGCCCTTTTGGCATCCAGTCCATGGGGGCTTCAAAATGCCTTGCCTAATTCTCTGCATTTACTATTTGCAGTAATATTTGCTTTCCATCACTTTGCATTTAGCAATATTGAATATTTTCTACCAGAAATCATTCAAGATGGTGAGTTCCTTCTGCAAGTCTGCATGGTTTTCTCAATAAATAACTTATGAATATGTCAAGGAAGAGAAATCCCAGCCTAACCACTTTTGTGACTTTACTGATAAACTCCCTTCATCACCAAAAAAAAAAAAAAAAAAAAAAAGGATTTAGTCTTGTTTTGGGTTTTGAATCTGATTGCTAATGCAGAAAATACATTTACCCTCTTTTTATCATGACACTTTGCTTTTTGGAGAGTTTTCAGTGATGGGCATTGCTCATACCTTGGTTTTGAAATATTTTTTAATAGTCAGACAGGTCACCTGCAACCATGTGGGTGTCAATACTTTCAGATACTTAAACCTGTCTGCATTTTTTGGAAGTCTTATCATGAAGATGATACACAGGATTAAGGGATACAGGAACTGGATTCCCAGGGCCCTGTTCACTGGACACTACCTGGCCCTTTGGAGATTTTTACAGTGCCAGATCTGTGAACAGAACAGGTTCTGGGTTTACTTCTTTCAGTGAGATAATGATAAGGTGAGTTTTTACTTCCTGTCTGGCTTTGGCAACTTCTTACGGAATGACACCACATGCAGCATTTGATTTCTTTGCAACTGATCTTACAGAATAGGTTTTGACGGAGATGATGAGTAATTTGAATTTCTTTAAACAGTTTATGTAGCAGCTGTTGAATGTAGTTGGCTATTAATTCCTGCAGAGAAGTTTTGAAGTTTACTAAGTTCCCTTATTAACTTGTCTAGCAAGATTCTTATGCTAACAGTCAGGTTTGGGATAGAGTAGTCTCTGGGAACGAACGAGTCCAGGATGGAAACCTTGATAATCTCTTCTATTGTGGATATATTTGAATAGTAGCATGTTTTGCTTTTTCTGCTGTGATTTTTCTCCCTCTGTGGTCTTAATTCCTGCTCCTTTCATTATAAGTTGAAGGTGTTATTTATTGTAAACTATTAATATCATTTGGCCTGGTCCTCTTATCATTTGTATTTCACAGTTATGATGTATAGGCTGGTTAGTGAAACACAGTAATGCCGGGCAAGCTGTGTCTTTACAGACCAAATGCAAAGTAATTCTTTCTTTCCCTCTTACATTCCCAGCAGACTCCAGTGTTTTACAAGGCCTGAAAATCTGCAGTGTCAGTGATAATATCACAGGGTAGCTTTCCCTTTCATTGCTACCATTCTCCATTAGTTTGGGACTTCACAAGATGCATTATTGTGCACGCCGTCAACCCATCGCCCATGGGAGGGATGGGTGCAAAAAAGATAGGACAGTCAACAAACACTTTGTTATTCAGTTTATTTATCTATGAAGAAATCATGGATCTTCTCCCTAACTTCCTGCTACAGCATTTCATGTAAAAATTTCGTTTCCCACTTAAATTAATGAGCAGCAACTTTCAGCCTTGCTAGGAAAGTAGTATGAATTTTCAGATGTTCTTTGCTGTAGGTGGCCCATAACAAAACAGAAGTCAATAAATTTGGATACCTCCAAGAGAATCAGGCTTTGGGCTCCGTGCTTATGTCCATTTATAGTCCTGGGTTTGCCCCTAGAACATTTGTTTGAAGAACAGGTATTGTCATCTGTTTTGTGAAGTCTCTGTAAGCTTGGATTTATTTTTTAGATGAATTCTTGGCTTTAAAAGGGTATTCTGGTATTTGATTTAAAAATAGGACAAAAAACATTATCTAGTCTTGTTGGTATGTGACTTACCAAAAAAAATTCTTTTCCATTCCTAGCTCTGTTAAGACATTTCAGCCATGACTAAGAGAGAAGCAGAGGAGCTGATAGAAATAGAAATTGATGGAACTGAGAAACAGGAATGCACTGAGGAAAGGTACGTACTGTCTGCTTTTTGGATCCTTAATCAATACTTAATTAAATAATTAATTCATTTTTCTGTTTCATATCTAATTCAATTGTGTTTTTCTTAAAGTTGAAATGTAGCAACTGTAGGAAATCAGTATAGTGCTGTCATGTTCCTCAGTCTTAATTATTTAAGATACAAACTGTGATGCTTATTTCTTCCTACCTTCATTTCTGTAGGAGCATGTCTGTGTTTATGTGCTACAGACCTTTCAGCTCCAGTGTATCCTTCTGTAGCTGAGATGAACCTTCCAGTTTCTCCAGTCCATTGCTTTGCTGTTATACTGGATTTCTACAGGATCATTTGTTTCTAACAGAGCAGAAATGATGTTCTATATTGACTGTAATGGTTGTTAGGGCTATTGAAACCATAGATACTGAAGTCTGATATCCTCTGACTTAATTATCTCAACCTGTTTTTTTTATTTCCTAATGGGTTAAAATCAGTGAGACCAAATTTAGAAATTCACTCTCTACCCAAGCTAAGAGTTGATTTGCATGGTACTAAGATTTCAGAGTCAGTATTAGCCTTTATCTAGTTTACTTCTTTTATTAAGCTTTCCTATACCTGCTTCAGTAATATGTAGGTAATGATTTCTTTTATTAATTTGGTATTTAAGCATCGTTGAGCAAACCTACACCACAGCAGAATTTGTGAGTCAGGCTATTGACATCAATGAACCCATTGGAAATCTTAAGAAGCTGCTGGAACCCAGACTGCAGTGTTCCTTGGATGCACATGAAATTTGCCTGCAAGATATCCAGGTAAATTGAAAGGCTAAGAAAGATTTAACCTCTTAATGGAAAAGCATTTTAAATACTTTGTCCCTTCCTTCTGTTTATTCCATTCTGTGGAATTCATGCTTCATGTGGAATACTACTTACAATTAAGAGTTTACCTTAATGTCAGGTTCATTATCACCAGACCATTTAATAAATACACACTAGTTCAGTGGGAATAAAATAAAAATATTTTTATTTTGTTCCTGGCGTAAGGGTAAGAAAGCACCTTGCCGGTGAACAAAGAATGAGGACAACAACAATACTGCTTTCCCTTCAGGTAGCCCTGAAGGGAAATCATTCATTGCTGCCTGAACTTCTGTGAGTCTAATCTTGTCTTGAATCTGAGTGAGGTGAGAAGGTTTTTATATTACTCAGGTGTAGAGATAGCAAAGCATTACTCAAGAAATCCCTCCCTGTTTTTGTAGGCATCACCACATGTAAGACAGTATAACTGTTTTGCATTCTGTTTAGCTGCATGTTTTATTTGCTATTGTAATCAGGCATCTATGGCTTTTCCAGAAGCAACAGGAGAATACTGTTGTAAAGACAAGAATTTTTATCAAGGTGTTTAAAACTCAGAAAAGGATCTGTAGATAGTTTTCAGGTAGTGAAGGTACTGCCCAGTATTGCTTTGCTTCTTTTAGGTCAAAAATTGTCTCTCTAAGTGCCTTAAACAAAACAGTGGCAAGTTTCAAATACGGATCAAATTCCTTTTGCTGTGTACTTTGTCTGCTAGCACTGAAAGTATTTGCACACTTCAGAATATTTGCTGCAGGCACCAGGCGTTTCTGAAGTTTGAAGGAGAATAAGTTTCTTGTAACTATGAGGCTGACACATATTTTTAATTTTTTTTTTTATGCCTTTATCAAGTTGGACCCGAATCGAAGCCTTTTTGATCAAGGAGTGAAGACAGATGGAACGGTGCAACTCAGCGTGCAAGTGATATCTAGGCAAGGTAAGCAGTTATGTTTACCTGTTGTACAGATAAACTAATATTGTAGGAATACTTGTGAGCAAATCTCCTATTCTGGCTGTAAAACTGAGAAAATCACTGAATGCCCATGAAGCTTTCATTGTGTACTGTGGTTATAAGTAGTAAAATTAAAATAAATGTCACGAACTAATGCTATTTGAAATGTTTATTATAGGAACTTCATATCCATTTATAAGTAAAAAAACCCAAACATAAACCCAAAGCCCAAACAAATCTGAGTCAAATAATGACAGTTACAGTATGAGGATTTCCTCAAGGTTGAGTAGTTACTCATATCAGACCAAATACCAAAGTAGACAAAAGACGTTTGTGTAGGTAGGTGACTCTGTGAGGTGATTGAGCCTGTGTGCTTCAGGAACAATTAGACTTTGAAAATATATGTAGCTAACTGGAAATTCTTATCAAAGTCCAGGATTACTCTCTGTTGTCTGTTTTCTTTGGATGAGAAGTCAGAGTAAACCATTGTGACAGAGGAACATGAAGCAGGTTGATAGGGATTTGTTGGTGCATAGTTTTCATTTGTATTACCTGGTATGACAGGGTTTCCTCTTGTCAAATCTTCAGGAATTAGCAGCTTCCTTGTTTTGCTTGTTGTCGTGTTCCTATGGGAACAGCTACAGGTGTTAGTTTACATATTTTCAGACAGTGACAATAAGTTCCTACTAGAGTAGATTGGTTATCTCTTTTGAGTTTACATCAGCAAATTTTAGGGAGCATACTTTGTTTTCTTGTCACTGCAGTATAGATTAGACAGAATAAAATCTTTCTGCTTTGTATTAACAGTCTTCAGTATGACACAATTTGCATTTAATGCTGTGTTGAATCCTCAGTTCCCCATATGTAATGGGGATTGAACTGCCTTTCTGCTTTTAAAAATAAAATAGAAATATCCTTCAGGAAACTAGAAAAACTGCTCTTAATTCATACCAGTAACTTATAGTATTCAGTGCTCAGATTGTTGTATTCTTCCTGTGTTTGGTGGGATTTTTTGTCTTTAATGTAAAACTGACCATATAGTACAAGGAGCTTCTTGCCTCCCAACGCCATGGCACCCTCTCTCTTTCTCACTCTCTTTTCTCTCCTCCCTTGAGAGGAATATTTGAGTATTAAGTATTTCTGTGTAGCTCTGGGACAATCCTCAGTATTGTTTTTCAGGCCTTGACACTTTAATAACTCATAAGAAATCTGCATGTTGAAGGCATGTAAAATATGTCAGGACAGAATGTCAGAAAACAAATAACATGGATATAAATAAAAGGAAGATATTTGAATCACTGACAGGAAAATGGACTTGTTACCCTTGACTGCAGTGTCCTTTTGAGTCAGAGGGAAAAACAGCTTCTTACGCCAGCAGCATATTTTACTTGCATGGATGAGGTTTTGAAAGATTCTCAATTTACTTATTTTTGTTTTCCCCCTACTTGTGTAATGTTTACAATTCAACTAATAGTAATCAGTGGTGTTAATCCTTGTGGTAGATTGGACTCTCTTATGTCTTAAAAGAAAAACTGCTACATCAGTTCAAGTGTTCTATCAAATTTTCATTAGCCATCTGGAAATTCAAAGGAATAAACACCAGCTGAAATACGATCCAGTGTAGTTCTTTTATAGCATTTAATACTACAGTAGATAAAATATCATTCCTGATTCTACCTTGCCTTATCTCCTTTCTCCTGGTTGGAGGAATTTTGTTTTCCTGCCACTGTGAGAACAGCAGCTTTGAGTGCAGCCCAGTTCTGTACTGCTCTGAACTGGGCTTCTTGCAAGTCTGTGGAAATCTGAGTAACTGTATTCCATTGTATGTCAAAGAATTTGAAAAGAATCTTTAATTTTGAAGACCTCCATAGCAAAATATTCTGCGGTATTTTCCTATAACAATTTCTGCTTTTATTATTTTCAGTGTGTAAAGGGACAAATAAATGTAATGACGCTCATCTAAATTAACAGTACAGTTTGACTGATATCCTGTGTATGGCTGTGGTTAATACTAGACCTTTCAGGGTGGAAAAAAATAGGCTATCTGTAAGTCAGTCTTCATCTGAGTTCTCTACCTTCAGACAATTGGCAGTGAAGGGGCATGTCCTGGCAACATCTGCACATGTCTTGGTAGCTCATGTCCCTGAAGCTTTGTACTCCTTGTACCAGTTTATGCTTCTGGGGTGTGTGTCAGAGGAATACTGGGCATCCATTCTCTCATGCAGTAGGTGGAGGGAGAAGAGGTGTGAGGAGAGATGCTGCCAAACCCAGGGAATTAATGTTGCTCTAGTGTTGCAGTAGGTTAGGCATCAGACTTAATTCACAACATTTTTCCTTGTAAGCTGATTCCTCTACAGAGACTCATCGCTTTGATCTCCATGTTTGTATTGTGGATGAAGCACAAAGTTCTTCTGACATGTAATTATTTGACAGATAATGAATTATTTTGTTGAGCAGTGGTGAACTGTTCCTCTCTAGAAACTTTTTTCTTTGCTTTCTTTTTTGAATATCAGAAATAGAATCTTAACCCTTAGTGGTTTTCCTTACCCACTTTTATCTGATTTTGAAAGAAGCCTGTGCTCTGCATGTTAATTTTAGATGTCCTAGATAAAATACTCTCCTAGATAAGGTACTTGTTTTCTTTTCCTTCGTGTTTGCTTCTTCATCTAATGAACCACCTATTGGTTGTCTGCATCTATTTTCACTTCCTTAATTTCACATTGCAGCCAGTTGTACTTAGGGTGTTTGTAGTGGTCCCTTTCTAATATTTTTCTCAAGCTGAATTCCTTTTAAAATCTAGAAGAATACTGAAAAAGACTTGCTTTGTTCTTACTTGTAGTACAGGTGTGTACTGCATTTATTTTCCCTTCCAAGCTATGACTGGATTGTGGCTTTAGCTGTTAAGGCTGTTACCTGGAGAACTTACCTCACATTGAGCTTTAATACAGATTAGATAGGAGGGACAAAAACTAATACTTTTTGGCTCGAGGTATACTGAATTTATCCTGGCCATATGATGTTCTGTGAATCCTACTTTCATCTGCCTAACCTAGTCAAGGTTTTCCAAGTGATAATAAGATGGAATTTTAAAGATTTTTTTTTTTTTCTGTGCAAATATGTTTGATAAGAATATCTCTAGAGAGTTGTGGTTGTTAGCTGTCAGTACAATGGAAATATAAATTCTGTTGTAATGGAAATAATATGTCACAAAAATAGAGATTATTTTGAAAAATCTTCTATACAGGGTCAGAAATTTGGTGAAGGCACCTTCTGGACAAAAAACCTTCTCAGGAGACAGCAGAGAAGGTGGTGATACAAAGCATTAGTGAATGTGTTCTTAATTGCTGCGGAATAATTACAGACATATCTTCCAGCTCCATGATCTAATATCTGAAATGACAGACATAAAGCCAAAACATGAATAGCTGATGAAGCTTGAAATAAAAAGAATTTTCTAGTTTTCTTTTAACTTGCTGTTAAACATACTACCTACCACAGAGTACTGAAAAAAAAAAATGTTATCTGCCCTGTGTAGACGTCAGACATACCAGGAGAGTATTATAAAGGCTGAAAACAGTGCCTCATGGTTGGAGGAAAGGGCTGGATGCTTGTTTTGGGTCTTCTTGGGGGTTACTGGTTTGGGGATTATTTTTTTTTATTATTTGGTATATTTCCTATAGCCCAAAATACTTGTACTTTATGCCCACATGCTGAACATTCTGTTCAAGATCTGTGAAATGGGTCACCTAAATAGAAAAGGAAGCTGTAATACTGGGGGAGGAAAGAGGGACAGCTTTGTATTCACCTTCCTGAAGTATATGCTGTATAATAGGATATATGTCATTCTAATTTAGGATGCTCACAGAAATTTAATGCTGCTTTTGTGTCCTGCTTCTTCCCTGAGTGTGCTAACCCTACTAATCAGAAAACTTTAGAACAATGTTTTTGTGATATTGGCATTACTAGCTTTGTTTTGTGTTTGTTTGTTTGTTTGTTCTTTCCATACCTAGGGATAGAGCCCAAGTTGAACATCCTTGAAATTGTGAAGCCTGTGGAGACAGTGGAGGTGGTGATTGATCCAGATGCTCATACTGGAGAGGCTGAAGCTCACCTCGTTGAGGAAGCTCAAGTGATAACCTTGGATGGAACAAAACATATTGCAACAATTTCAGATGAAACCTCTGAGCAAGTGACACGATGGGCTGCAGCACTGGAAGGCTACCGGAAGGAGCAGGAGCGCTTGGGAATTCCTTACGGTAATAAGACACGGCGTGGCGTGTGTTTTGGGCAGGATCTGAGTTCTTGTGTTTGAGGGATTGGTGCTCAGGCCCTCAGAAAAGGCAGCTGAGGGGGTGGGTAAGTACAATGCAAGTATCTGCATAAGGGAATTGTGGAACCATGGAATGGTTTGGGTTGGAAGATCATCTCATATCAATCCCCCTGCAGGGCAAGAAGGACACCTCCCACTAGACCAAGTTGCTCCAAGCCCTATCCAACCTGTCCTTGAACAATTCCAGGAGTAGGGCAGCCACAGCTTCTCTGGGCAGCCCATTCCAGGGCCTCACAACCCTCACAGGGAATCATTTTTTCATAATGCTTACTCTGAAGACTAAAGAGAAGTACAGTGAATCCTCATAAGAGTTTTATTAAATCAGAATTTTTTTGCTCCGTAACTTTTTTGTCAACGCAGTTTTTAGAAAGCACTTTTCTTCTTCCTGCCCTCCTTAAAAACATGTATGTTAATGATTCATGATGTGTGTGAAGCTGAACTCGACTCAGTACTTGGTGAGGGTTGCTTCTAAAGTAGTGAAACAAATTCTTCATGGACTCGAGGATGATGAATCTTGTGTTAAATCAGATTTTGCCTGGAAAGCCATACTGGACTTCAGCATACTGGAGGAAGGTGATTCAGAACTGACAATACATATTCTGGTAGATGATCATCTCCTTTGAAGTAATGTTGTTACTTAGCAGGCTCCTCTTTTAATGGTAGCTTAGAAAAAAACGTCCCTGAATGCCTGCTTAAAATTGAACTGAAACTGTGGGGTTTAGACCTGTATCACGTTCAGGAGATTATTTAGCTCAGTTGCTTCTTGTCAGAAATGTACTGTCAAGGCATATTCAACATAGGAAGCTGTAGTATCTGAGCAGACCCGTAAAAGTGGAATATATTTGGCAAGTGGGATATTTGGAAGTATTTAAGAATTCCAGTCAAGTCACAGGTCTTTGCAGGACATGTAGCTTGACGATATTTTGAATATATTTTTGATAACTAAAGCAATAGTTTTTTCATGACTTTTTGTTGTTCTTATTGGCAAGCACTTCAAAAATAGTTGTCGTCGTGTTGCGTCTGTTGATAATCAGGGATTTGACGCAAAATGTTGGAAAAAAAATCTGAGGGATTATCAGGAGCAGACTAATACTTTTCAGCATGCTCTCACATTAATACCACAAGAAAGTTACTTAAACTGATGTTGTGTTGAATAATGTTTGTAATAAACGTGCATAACATTGATGCTTTAAGAAAACCCACATAACCCACAGCTGTGACTTTAAAAGTTTAATGTATTTTGGGTCACAGGTGTGCAGATTTTTCAGGAAAATCATGCTAGGTCATTATGACAGAGGCTCTCTGTCATGAATAATTGTTTTCCCTTGACATCAGAAAAATGTGCAAAACTGCCTTCCTAGAAAGAATAAAATTCTAAATGTTTTCTGAGTAGATATTGCAGGGACTTGGGCTGAAATCAGGTGCCCCTAGGTTCTACAGTATGATCTGAAACTGTTCCTTCAATCTTTTCAGAATACAGGGTCTTGATATTAAAAGTCATATCCAGTCAGTAAATAATCATTTGGAAAGGTAGTTGTTCAGTGTTTTCATCCTTACAGGCTTCTCAGCTTTACTGTAAATGGAAAATGAGCTTTTAGCAGTTCTTTAAAATGTGGCTTTCTCTTTGTGTCACGTTTTAGTGGGTTTTATTAGAGATTACAGTTCTTTATCTGTTAAAGGTATTTCTGCCATTAGAATCCACATATTTGGTACCATTGCAAAAGTCCCTAGAAAGAAGGAAAGTATTAATTGTCAAGAGAAATAAAGCCAGAAAAGGGAGCAACAGACGCTTGGAAACCACAGAAGTGGTTAAGGAAAAATAATGATATATGTTTCCTTGCAGATTGTGTTCTGCCAGTGAAAGCAAATAAGTTTCTGATGAAAATTCTCTGCTGATAATGTTTTGAAGACCAAACCCCTTGTGGTGTGTCTTCTGCCAAAGGATTACATTGCATGGTTTTAGGTAGCATCAGTGAAAAATGATGCTGTGTAACTGTCCTTTATTAAGCAGTAGCCAAAACATCTCAGTGTTAGTAACACTCGTTTGGTCACCAGGCTAAAACACAGCATGATGAGGAGAAAATTAATCCATCCCAGTTATTTAGAAACTGGGATAATGTGAATGAGTTTAGAATGTAATATTTTGTCAGAATTGCATACTGGTCAACATGTTTGAGGAGAGTATCCTTGTGGGAGAGAGACTACTCTTTCCTTGAAACTAAAGACCATGGAAAAAGAAAAATAATTGTTTTCTATGTTTGAGATATGTGAGGCTCTGTTCTGATGTAATAACTTTTACTAAAGAAATTCCCCTTTTTGCCTTTCTCCCCACCAACCCACACCACTCCCTCTGCATTTTAAGAGCTGTCAAATTTCCAGTCAGATTTGGTCACAGTAGCTCTCTGCTTCTTGATGTGATGCATTTACTTTTATGGAAGTGTAGTGGGTTGACCCTGGCCAGGTACCCACTAAAGCTGCTCTATCACCCTCCCTTTGCAACTGGACAGAGGAGAGAGAAAAAAAAAAACAGCTGAGGATTCATGAGTAGAGATAAGAACTGGGAGAGGTCACTTACAGATTACCTTCATAGGCAAAACAGACTCCAAGTGGGGATAGCACTTAAATTTATTACTAACAGGATAAGAGCCAAAGAGTGAGAAATAAAACAGTCTTAAAAACACCTTTCCCCCACCCCACTTCCTTCCATGTTCTCCCTCCTCTCCACCAGTGGTGCAGGGGGACAGGGAATGAGAATTGCAGTCAGGTGTTGTTTCTGCTGCTACTCAGGGAGAGGAGTCCTGCCCCTGCTCCCATGGGGTTCCTCCCATGGGAGACAGTCCTAGATGGACCTCTCCAGCATGTGTCCATCCCTCCAGCAGCAATTCTTCCCAAACTGCTGTCCGATGGGTCACTCCTCCATGGGGTACAGTCCTTCACGGATGAGCTGTACCGATGTGGGTCCCCCCCAGCGGCCACAAGTCCTACCCAGGAAAAACCTACTCCAGCCTGGGCTCCCTCTCCACAGGCCACAGGTCTCCTGCAGGACCCCACTCCCTCCTGGGCCTCCCACAAGGTCACAGCCTCCTTCCTGCATCCACCTGCTCCAGCATGGGCTCCTCCATGGGCTGCAGGGGCTCTCTGCACCCTGATGGTCCCCCATGGGCTGCAGGGGCACAGCTGCCCCACCATGGGCAGCACCACGGGCTGCAGGGACACAGCTCCAGTGCCTGGAGCATCTCCTGCCCTTCCTTCTACACTCACCTTGCTGTCTACTTTGTTGTTCACATATTCTCACTCCACTCTTCCCTGGCTGCAATTTTCTTCTGTGCAACACTCCTCTGTTCTTAAATATGTTACTGCAGAGGTGTTATGCCTCACTGGCTCAGCCTTGGCCAGCGGCAGGAAGTCCATCCTGGAGCCGGCTGGCATTGGCTCCACAGGACGGGGGAAGCTTCTGGCAGCTTCTAACAGAAGCTGTAGCCTCACCTGCTACCAAAATCCAGCCACAGAAACCCACTACAGGAAATTATTATGTAATTGAGGAGGGACCTTGCAGTACGTAATGAGGTGATTTGCAGTTTCATCCCTCTTTCTGCAGACCCAGTGCAGTGGTCGACAGACCATGTGCTGCACTGGGTGGTGTGGGTGATGAAGGAGTTCAGCATGACCGACATCGACCTCTGCACGCTCAGCATTCCTGGGAGGGAGCTCTGCAGCCTCAGCCAGGAAGACTTCTTCCAGCGCGTCCCGCGGGGAGAAATCCTCTGGAGCCACCTGGAGCTTCTCCGAAAATGTACGGCAGAACTTTCTGTTCCTGGTTTTACTTATTCCCCCTCCCCACTTCTCTGTTTGCCTTTCTTTCTTTAAAGATGAAACCAGTTGTGAGCAGTTATTTTTCCTTTACTTAATATTTGGACTGAAAATGAGGAGATATTAGGATGTCTGCTGCCATGGAAAATGTCTGCATACTAAACACTGCCTGTCCTTTATCAAACTTCATCACTAGGAGAAGGTAGTGACTGATGATTCCTCCTTTGTTTTTAATGAAGATTTGTAGCTTGTGCATCTACTGAATTTGATCTCTAATTAAATATCGATTATGAGTTATTAAATGTACATTTCTGTGTCATGCAGAAATATTATTAAGCAGAGGCAATGAAATCCTTAGATGGCACACAACACAATGATGCCTTGTATGTGCATAATACATTAATATATGTGTGCCTTTCAGATTTACCGTGCTTGGATGTAATTTGGCAGACTAAAAGCTATTTCCATCTTCATTTACATGATATAGCTAAAGGTTTTATGGGATGGAAAATGCATGACATACCTTGAAATTTGCCATGTACGCCCTTATTTCCAAAAATTGAGTGACAGATGTTAAATGTCTCTACTTGTAGGACCATGAGCTATACATGTCTCTTGTAGACGGATACCAAATTTTGACTTTTTTCCTCTATGAAAGATGAAAGTTTTTGATCTTCAGTGACTTGAAATCTGTAAGTTAAATAAAAACACACTGTTTTTGTTTCTAATTTGCAGATGTGTTGGCTAGTCAAGAACACACTGGAGAAATAGCAACTGTTACTATCGATCAGCGTGAGTGCTTCTATCAGCATTAATTCTTCACTGTTTGCAGGTTTAGCCCTGTACTTTGGTTCAGCTCTGTGATAGTACAGCATTTAGATAATCACTTAAGAGAGTAGTTTTCCTTGGGGGCAGGGGGAGGAGGACATATTTTAAACTTCAAAACATAATGTTGAGTTTCTCTATATTTTGTTAGTGGCTGAAAGGTGGTGTATGGCCTGAACTGTGGGAGATTATGACTTTCATTTTGGGTGGTAGATTTTCCATTCAATGGAAATAAACTGTCTAGGATACATATTTGAGGTTTTTAGTTATTCTGGGGGTTTAGGTTATATATTGCATTAATGAACAGATACAATAAAGTATTAATTAAAAAAAAAAAAATTTCCAAAAACTGAAGGGGCATGTGGAAGACTTGCTTATAACCCAATACTAGAAATAATACACTAAAGTAACTTTCCAGTTATTTGAAGCTACTTCTTTCAGCTGAAGCAGTGCCATCAATTATTAAAATGAATCCATTTCCAGAAGACTTGTAAGCAGCTTATAATAAACAGACAGACTGTGTGTTACATCCTGGGGTTGTTTCTGCTTGAAGCCAGCTCGAGTGGGGCATTTTCATCCTCCTCCATGGCAATAGAAGGGTGTTTACTGTTTGAATAGCAGGTTTGGAGGGTGGTAGTGACTGTGGAGAAAAGGGCATTAGGGCAGATCATGTGGGAACAGCATAAAGATGAAAACAAAGGCATGAGAGAGTTTGCAGGTTTTTTTATGGAAACATGTAATACACATGATAGTAAACTAAGGCTGATGTTTTACCTGTAATGTGACACTTTTTCAGTGAATCTAAAACTACAATTTTCACTGTAAGAGATAAAAAGTCTTTAAATTATATTTAGCATTGTGACTTATGCGGTGTGCCTTTTTAGCAAAGGAAAAAAAACCCCAGGCTTCTCGGTGTTACGATAATACAGGTAATAAATAAAATATGGGTGTTTCTGTGCAATTTATAATTGATGTTCTGCAACGTTCTCTGCTCCACAGCTGTGCAGATTATTCCAGCATCTGTGCAGCCTGCTACCCCGACCACCATTAAAGTGATAAACAGCAGTGCAAAGGCAGCCAAAGTGCAGCGAGCTCCAAGGATTTCCGGGGAAGACCGGAGTTCCCCTGGGAACAGAACAGGTACCATCTCCATTATTTTTACATGCAAATGCAGTGAGCCCTAACTCATTAATTTGAATGGCAGTTTGGTGGAACACATCTTCGTTGTACCAAGTGTGAGGTTTGTAGGAGGCCGTGTGGTATGAAGGGAACAGTAGGTACAAAATCCTTGATAAGCACGTGCAGCCCTGGCAGGTTGGTCGGCTCACACAAGCATTGTGTGAACATGGTGCTGCAGTTTTTCAGTCCTGCGGTAAATAAAATGCATAAAATTGGAGTTTTTCCCTATTCTTTAACAGTCTGTCCTCTGCAACCACTGCATAGCTTTTCTTCAAGCTTTTAACTTCTTTCCATTTGCAGAAAGGGGACAAAATAAATTGTATATTGAGGAAACCCGGCCTAGCTGGTACTCACTCTGCTTGTTCCCCTTTTCCTCTGTTCCCTCCCATTTTGGTGACTTTAAAATTTAGCAAGTTTCATATTTTTTGTTTAGTTAAAAGAATGCACATCTGGAACACTACACATTAAATCTTCAGTTTATTTTTGGAATTACTGTTACTTGTTCTGTGTTCTTTGATTATTACTAACACATCCTTATTTCTTTATCTTATTTTTTCTTGCTGTCATTTTTGTTTTGGTTCTCTCTACTGTTGTGAATTTTTCTGTTAAATCCTTTCCTCTCCTTGAGTTTTTGGGAGTTTTTTTCAGATTTTCCATAAAAGTTTAATTATGGGAAATCATTCAGAATTCTTAGGTGAAGATTGTATTGGCTGACATTAGCAGGGAATACTTTGTATTTCTCCTTTTAGTCATCAGGTCTGCTCTCCTTATCTCATTGAGAATTTAGGAATTTTACTGCAGGTCCTTGAATTAGAAAGAAATTTGTATGGTTGGACTTGAAAGATGTTGATGGAAGCTGAAGTTTGAGAGTTTCTTTTGTATTTCTGATATTTCGTGTTGAAAACTGGAGACCAATTTACTTTTTTAAAAAAACGGTTCTATTATAGAAGAGGAACATGTGAAGAGGAATAAGCAGCTCTTGCTAAATCTGTTCTATTTTAGAGATAAATATGCGTCTAAATGATTTTGTTCAGTGGAGTATTTTGGGGGTTTTCTTTAACTTCTAGGGACAGATTTATGAGAAATCTTGATTAACATTTTTCTGAAATTCATCAGATTTTTAATAGATGGATACTGGTGAATTCCCAGGAAAATGTTTGCAAAAGAATCATTAAAAGAGATTAATTAAGTGCAAGTTGTCGTTCCATCATATATTCTGTGTTGGTCTGCTCTGTGTTGGTTGAAAATTTATATCAGTGTGGGGAACATAAAAAGAACAAGTTGAAATGCATCTTTTTGTTCCTGTCTCAACAGGGAACAACGGCCAGATCCAGCTGTGGCAGTTTTTGTTGGAACTTCTCACTGACAAAGATGCTCGGGACTGTATCTCTTGGGTTGGTGATGAAGGAGAGTTTAAACTGAATCAGCCTGAACTGGTTGCACAGAAGTGGGGACAGCGCAAAAACAAGCCCACGATGAACTATGAGAAGCTTAGTCGGGCCTTGAGGTAAGAAACTTCAGGGACTCAGATGGGATTTGCTTTCATTTGGCTCCTTTGCCTTTAACTATCATAGTGCGAGAAGTGCAGCTTTTTTAATAAAGGGATAAACAAATCTTCTGAAGCTGATCCTGCCCATCAGATTAAAAGAAAATAGATTTTTTTTCTTCAAGATTGTTAATTTGGGTAGCTCAGTTTCAGAAATACGTTTTTTTTTGAGGGTTTTTTTGATCCCTTTCACTGTTCTTATTGTGAGGGTGTTAAATTGAAAAATGCAGGTGACAGGTAAGTTTCGGCAGCTGTGATTCAACATCCCAGTGAACTTTCCTCATCTGAAGAAATGGAAATGTTTCAGTGTCTTCATTCCAGTGTGATTTTGTAGTTTGACATTGGTTAAAAGGGACCTGTATTTTTGAATCACTATAGATGATGTGCCCAAGGAGGGGGAGTTGTGCAAGTACTGGAATTTTAGACTTCTTTTCCCTGATTATTTTGATCTCTGGAATCATTTGAAACTTCATCCAAATTACCTGAAATCACTAAGAGTGAACTTCTGATTTCTTACTTTGATATGATTAAATATATTTCTCATGATTTGTTTTTAAGAAAGATGTTCATTGCCTAATCCTGCAAATTACAGTTTTAGGAATTCTTTTTATATGAGTGAAGTTGCATGTTGATTGAAGTCTGAGATCTGTGATTTGCTCTTCAGCATTTTCACTTTTGGCTACTTTTTGTCATTGTTTTTTTGGGTTTTGAGGGTTTTTTTTAAGTAAATACCTTTAGCATTGCTTTTAAAAAATCAACTTCTACTTAAAAATACCTCTGTAAGAAATGATGGCAAACTTACCATATTCTGGCTTTCTTAGTCTTGTAGGGAGGATTTAATTAACATCTGGCAGGCACCAGATAGACAGCTTTACTATGCCCTTTTGTTTGTCTTGGAATTTCCTTAGGCACAATATTGTGGATGCCAGAATTACTTATGTGTTTGAGAGGCAAGTGGAAAAAATAATGAAAAGGAAATATTTTGGAGGATATTAGGTGTGGAAAAATGCAACTTCTTAGAATTCCTGAACCTCAGCTCACTGAAAGCAAGGAAGAACACTGATATGTATTTACTCTCATACTTTTCCTTAGGTGTCATGTTTTGGTCTGTTTGAAGTGTATTCCTATTCTCGATGGATATTTAGTCTGGCCCTGTGTGCTTGTTGTTGCATTATATATATATTAAATCAGAATGGTAATTTTTTTCATAGGATCACAGAATCCTTGGGTTTGGAAGGGTCTCATGAGGTCCCTGGTCCAACCTCTTGCCCAAAGCAGAACCTTCCCAATACAGCTGCTCCCCAGCCTCTATTGTTGCAATACCATCCCTTGTGTTTCCAGCCTGGCTTTGTGTAGCTGTAAGTTTGTGTACTGAAGGCATATGTGAAAACTTTCTGGAACATAAAAATTATATAAACTGTGCTAATGCTTTTGGGGTTTTGTCAGGAAGCTCTGCAGAAGATCTCAAAGGCAGCTGAAGAACTTCAGAGTAATATTCTTATGGCTGGGATGTTAAAGGGATGTCTGCAAAATCATTTACATAAATCACCATTAGAGAAATGTTGTGTTTATAATTTAGTCACAGAATTACAAAAATCACATTCCTCAAAGTGTTGCCATTTTGGCAGCTGCGTCAATATTGACATGTTTTCTAACACCTAAATGTCTGAAGGGATATTTGATGCCTCTTGCTACTCCCATGATAAACGTTGTTGCCAAGCTAATGTTGTATTAAGCACTGATGTGTTTTGTTTACTAATGTACTCAAATCACTGTGTCAGTTGTTGGTTAATACAGAAAATGATGTTGGTATTACTGAGAAACGTGCTGGCTCTTCTGCCCAGCTGTAGGGAAAGCAGCCAATACAGAAATTAGGGTGGGGGGTGGAGTGGGGGGGGAAGAAAAACTTTTTTTGTTACATGTACCTTGGTAAATTTTCTAAAATTCAGCATCTGTTTAGTTATCCACTAGGGAAGTGAGACTTAAAGAAAGTAATTCATCTCCTGTATTCCTCTGAAACAAAGTTTTCATGTGTCTTGGAATGTTCCAGTAACTAAGGCTTTGTGAATTTGCATGGGTGTTTATTTTTGGGCTTCTATATTTTTGAATAAGCAAATGCTGTAATCAGAAACACCTTCAACATAATATTGAAAATATCCTCTTGCCACATTGCCTTGATTTTAACTTGAGTGTTTCTAGCACGAGATGTGGGAATCTTGCATGGTTCTGGGCCTTCACATAAATGTTACCTGATTTCTTGTGGTCCTTTTCCTTTCTGATAATATCAGTAATGCAGACTAAACAATTAAAAGTATATTCAGCTCTGTAAAGGATTTTTCCATGTTATTTTGAGGCAGACATTCTTGTACAGGATTGTACAATAAATGTAAATGCTAACTTTAAAAAAATTATGGACGTTGGCACTTCACCTGCCACAGCCACATTTTACAAACTTGCTCTTGGAATTGACTCAATTTTGCCAGTGAGAAAGGATCATCTTTGCTTTATAAGCATGTCAGTCAGAGGATTGAGTTTTAGACAGTGACGAAATCTGGCTTCATTTGTGCTACATTTGGGCGATGGGTTTGAGGCAGTTAAACTGTGAGATTTGTGTTGGTTGGTTGGGTCGGATTTGGGTTTTTTCCCTCCAGATTTATCACAGCCTTGTTAAACACATCAAATCCAAGTTACATCCCAGCCACTTAGGTTTGCTTAATGAGAAAAGTGACAGGCCTTCTGTTAATGCCTGAACAGCAACAAAACTGCACAATTCTAACTTCTGTTTTATTAGTGCGACCTAAAGTTTTATAACATCTCTGGAGTGCAGTGGGTCATGTAGACTTTATCTTACTGCATTTCTGCCCCATCTGATAATTCTTTTGTCACACAATATAAAAAGTATTCATAGTTAGAGAAGTCACTTGGAGTTGTAAATGAGGGCAAAGATGTAGCTTTGCCAGCAAATAAAATATTAACAAAAAACCAAGCAAATAACTATTAAACAAAAAACCCCCACAAAACCAAAAAGAAAACCCAAACCAAACAGAAACAAACAACACAGAAAACTCCAAAATCCCCAAATCCAACCCATGCTGGTATAGTTTTGTTAACACCTTTGAAAACAGTAGGGGGAGAATGGCTGCTTTCCTATCACAGAAACTACAGTGCTAATTTACAACCTGTTTCCAACATGATTTTTTTTCTCCTCAGAAAAAGAGACAAGAGTAAAGCAAAGGACAATAATGAATGGGAGACGATATTTTCTTACTAAGGCAAACCTGTTAAGTTTGACATATAAACTATATATATAACTTCTTCCCCCTCAAGCTGTTTTTAAACTTCTCTAAGACTTTTACTTCTGAACTGGTGCTTCTGACTGCTTATAAAATAATTACTATGTTTTATTTCTCCTTAACATATCAAGATGCAGGGACAATTTTCAACCTTCTTCCCTTTTCTCATGTAAGAAAATGCCTAAACAGTATCTTGGTATATGAAGAGTATCTTGATGAGAAAAGGAATCCTATTTTGGCCTCCGAGTGACCTTAAGTAAATAACTGATGTATATGGAATTCACAGGTGCTGAAAATTCGCACTGATGGTTTCGTTTCCCTTTTTGCAGGTATTACTATGACGGAGACATGATCTGCAAAGTGCAGGGGAAGAGGTTTGTGTACAAGTTTGTGTGTGACCTGAAGACCCTGATCGGGTACAGCGCGGCGGAGCTGAACCGGCTGGTCACGGAGTGCGAGCAGAAGAAACTGGCCAAGATGCAGCTGCACGGCATTGCACAGCCAGTGACAGCAGTGGCGCTGGCTACAGCATCCCTGCAAGCAGAGAAAGACAACTAAGCACTGGGACCTGAAAGCGGGAACCTGAGGCCTGTCCTCCGTAACCAGAGCAGTTGCTGCTCCCAACTTTATGAGGATTGGAAACTTTTGTTGTTTCTTGACCATACGATATAGGGCGTGATTTTCTATAAAGAACTAGGACTCATATAAATTTGGATCTTTTAGCAGCATATATTTCAATGTAAGTTAAGGGATCCCCCCAGCTTCTGCAGCTGTGAGTCAGGACCTCCATTGGTGTGCAGCTGGTGAGAGGTGGAACCGCTCCAGGCTCTGTGACCACGGCTGTGCAAAGTCATTTCTTAAGCACTTCTAACAAAAATGAGTCCTCACAGCAAAAAGGCTGACCAGCTGTCTGAACACAGCCCTTCCCAGTCTTTTGTTCTCTGCTGAATTGCCAAATGGCATTTGATGCTTTCAAAGTTAAAATATATTCATTATTCTCAGTTAATCAAGCAGAGCCGAAAGACACACTAAATGTTACGAAGCATCAGGTTCTTAAAATAGCTTCTGGAATAGCAAAGGAAACTAAGACTAGGCTTAACTGGAGATCAGTGCTGAAGAAGGAGATCCAGGTTTAGATCTGGCTTAGGTGAAAAGCCAATTATGAGTATTTCATTGTCATATGTAGATAATATGCATATATGAGGGCAGATACCTGTTTTGAAATATGTCGTTGACATTTGCCATTTAGCAAAAAGCAAAGATAAAATTCTTCCCCCACTACCACCCCCCATCAGGTCATTCGAAAACTTGAAAAAACAGCCCTCACCCAAAGAGTAGTTTGGTTGGGGGGTGGGAGGGAAGGGGATTAATGCTGTGTTCCGCAAGGTGCTTAAACCAGCACAGTAGTCAACCTTAGTATGCTAAGACTTAAGTTAATCACAGTCAGTAGTCCCTGGTTAGGAACAAAAAGCGATTTGAAAGTAGTTGACAGAGAGCTGAAGTTTGATTTCCCAATCATTGTACAGTCTGATATATATTAAAATACAAAGAGGCATTTTTTTATTTAAAGTTTATTTCTCTCTGAACTTCAAGTGGTATTTTGAAAGCTTCTTAAGCCAAATGCATGACCCGGAGCTGGGTGCAATTTGAAGAGGGGATGAATTCTGAGCTATGTTTCATGCAAACTTACACATGCAGTAAAAAGCAGGCTGCAGCTTTTTAGCTTCTGTACTGGTGCCTATGAGTGCTGCTTTTGATGGCTGAAAATGGTGCGATTCGGGGGTTGCTTTTTTCCCCTTCCTGTTGCTAAACAGTATAATTATTACGTCACCATTGGTATTTACCAACGCTTTATAAGTGAAAGCCCCTCTGGTAACACTTAACAATTAAAAGGGAAGACCTTTAATTCTGTGAGGGATCGAGCTACTCTTAAACCTTAAACCCTAAGTCCCTGTACGGTGAGGTTCTGAACATGAAGTGTGTTTGTGCTAAATAGGGAGAGCAGGAATGGTCAGACTTGGATGCAGAAGGCAGGGAACGTGAAGACTCGTGTATTTTAAAGACGTGTTGAGGACAAAGCTTTTTGTTTGTAGGTGGATGCTCGTCTCCAGATAGTTTTTGCTTAACTAGAAATCTTGCATGTAGTTCTGGCTTACTTTTTTTCATCATCACATGAATATAAAATATTTTTTTGCCAGATTCTTTGGTACCTCTCACTACTGTTTTCACTCTTGAGCTCTCAAAGCACTCCATCTGCTGACCATGCTGGCTTCCTTTTGCTTTTAAAAAAAATCTAAACCCTGAGCAAAAAAAATGTAAGTGCATCTGTTTATGAGAGGTCAACATGAGTCCATTTATTGCTGTTAGAGCAGTCTGGTGCCACCATTTGGCAGGTGTTTGAGGTGGCTTGTGCAGAGAGGTGAGGGTTTGCTTACCAAGAATGATGTGAAGGTGGTAGTTTGGTGGCAGCACCTCTAGTTACTAAACATAAGTCCAGTACAAGTCACTGGTTGTGTTTAGCAAGGTTGTTGAGAGGCCTTTTTAGTTAAAATGCAGTATAAAAAGAGAAGAAGCTTAAAATACCAGCTTTCTATATCAAACTGGACTGTGGGAGGATAAACAGCAAAATTGAAATTTAATCAAAACTGGATTCTCCTGCGTGGTGGTGTTACATGATGAGTCCAGTGGGGAAAACTCCTGCTCCCACCCTTGGTCTGTAAATACATCCCATTATTGTTTTGCAGCTTTTCAGTAGGTGTGATGGTCCTTTGGGTTCTTTGTTGTGCCTCCATCTGCTTTTCCACCAAGTTCTAATTAGTAAAGAAAGAATCTTTAAAATCATTATCACATTCTCTGTAGTTGAGGGAGAAGTCTGTGACTAACTTGATGTCTTCAGTGAAACAAAAGATGTAGAATATATTGTCAAAGGTTGTTCTGTTGCTGCCAGAAGGAAAACACAGAAAGAATATTCCCAATTTTTGTAAAATGGAACGTTTTTTGCATACTTTTTACTCTTTAAATAAAGACACTTATACTCTGCTAATAATTACGTATTTCTTTTGTGTTTTACTTTTTTTTTTTAGTAATTTTACATGAAACAATTATTTTCTATTTTTACTCTGATAAAATATTTGTGCATAAAATGTCAATATAGTAAAATAAAAATGTTATACAGCTAGTGCCTGTTGACTTCTTAATTTTTCAGAAGGCCATTTGTAATGTCATTCAGGTGCAAGCAGTTCACCTGTCTTTTTTTTCTCTTTTCTCTTAAGATCAGCTCAGAACAGGAAGGCGGCACTCACTTCACATTCTGAATGTGCATCTTCTTTGACTCAGTATTTGGCTGTGTGTTTCTACTTTTAAACTGGTACTTGGTGTCCTTTCTTTCTTTAGCAGCTTTCTTTACATCTTCATTGTAAATCTCAAAGTGTTGCTTTGATTAAAAAAAAATTTATGAAAACTTAATAGTAGGACTAAAGGGAGCTCTATGAAATGGTTCATTTTATGCTTTTAGTGGTGTTTAAATCAGAAAGATTCATGTTGATCTGTATACTTTGGACTTTCTCATCTCTGCAAGTGGCCCCGCTCATTTCACATGGCCCTGCTAACTTAACTGTTTGTACTGTCCTTGTTAAAAAGAAGATAAAATTCTGGTTATGCTGCTATTACTTTATTTTAAAATCGTGTCTCAGTAGAAACTTGCTCATTATACCTCTGAACTCCTCCGTCTGGGCTGCCAAATTCAAGACAGAAATATTTTGTCACCTTTAAACTTGCCACATCACTCGATTTCAAAATGTTTATGTTTAGCTTAGCAGCAACAACATGTAATGGACTGAAAATACTGGGTTTAGAACATTGCAGTAACTTGCTGGACTTCATGATCTTGGAGGCCTTTTCCAACCTAAATGATTCCATGCTTTTGGAGTGCACTTAACAAATATTTGGTATTGTATTAATTGAGCACATTTTATTTGTGTTTATAGCTATTTGTTATTATGCCTGTGTGATCTTGTTTTGGAATTCCTGTTCTCGTACAGAAATTGTTATTGGAGCAATATGGGGAATTACAACTGGCAGCTTGCAAGCAAAACAAGCTGACATGGAACTCTGTTGCCTGATAAAGAAGAGTATTACAAGGTCCATTTGCAAAGGTTTAAGGGGAATATTTTTACTGACTAGACTGTTTTGTTTTTCAAGGTCATACATATTGTTAAGGGTTGTGGGTTTAATATATATCAAGACTGCTACAATATATTTGGGTTGATACTGTATAATTTTTTTTTTTTTTGAGGTAACAATATGATTGACTCTAAATAAGAGAGAATTAAAGGAGAGGAATGGTTGACTGGGTTTGAGGGTTGTAATGTAGAACCTCATGCATTAGACATATTATGACTCAGTAACATTTTACATCATTATTTCAGAATTGGAGGCCACAGAATCTAATCAGGCACCAAACTGAAATATTATCATCTTGTAATTTTATTGACATCTCAACCATTAATGATTTGAAACTAAAGTTAAAAAGTGCTGAGGAGGGAGAAAGAAATATTGAAGGTCTGCCTTTAGAAAAAATTGTCTTTTACTTGTGGAGCTGGTCTTCTGCAAGCCAGAATTAAATGGTTCTAATGACAGTTGTACCAGAAGACGGGTCTGGGAGCCACAAACCAGTTCTCATTTACTTTGAAAAACAGGTATCAGCTGTTGGGTTTGTGGTTCGTGGCACACAGCACCCATGTAAGTTCTTTTTGTAGGTGGTGTTGCTGTAACTGGCTGTGATGGGAAAGAAAGAATCCAAAGAATTAATGATTGATCGTAGTTTTAAGCAACTTACTCGTGGAGTTACTTAATGAAAATTAAGTCAGTTTAGAAGAGGAGATAACTCTGTATCAGAAACAGTTGGAATCCACATGTAAATGGTTGTCTGTTTCCAGAAAAGCTGAAACTCCCTGTAGAGCATTAATTTTTCATTGTCCAACTGTTCTTTACTTATAAAACAGTGTCTGCTAGACACCAGATAGTAATAAAAATTTAGTTTATGGTCATTTTCAGGTTGCAGAAGTTGAAAGGGTTGTTTAGAAACCTCAGGAAAAATGCTTGTTTGGTTCAGCACAGCTTTGGGGAGTGAGAAAACTTGTGGAAACATTTAATTTTGCCTATTGCTTCAAGTATTTGCTGCTAATTATTTAAATGAGCTGGGAGTCTTTGGTAGTAAAAAAACCCACATTGTCCATAATAGATCTGAAATCTTAAGATGCCTTTTTTTTTTGTCTTGCCTTTGCAACCTGCCCTGTAACCTAAATGTAAGAAATTAGCATTTAAGACCTGTATTTCTAGTCCTATGAGACCAACCTGTCAGAATTCACTGATCAAGGCAGAATACCCCCATCTCAGTAGGCACAAAGCAAATTATATAAATTATATATAAGAATATGTAATATATCAATTATTGATTATAATGGAAGCAAACATGGATGGCACTAAAAGTGTTTCTTAGAAATTAGATTTGGGTTTTTTTAGAAATTCCTCCCAGTTAGGGAAGGGTAATTTGGGATGAAAAAAATGTGAGTTAGCTGTTTCCCCCTTCATCCTGGTAAGCTTCAGTTTTTCAATATTCTCATTTTCAAGGGCTCTGCAGGAGCTTCCTCGCAGGAACTGGGTTTGCATAAACCTTCAGCTGCAGAAGGCATTGAGAAATCCGCATGTTTCATACAAATCTTGTCAGGGCGAAAGCTGCAAACGAAAGTTAATCTGGAAGAGTGAGAATGTGAGAGCTGAGATTTAATGAGATTAACCAGACATTAATTAGACACCTGCAGGGTGCAGTTCTTCAAACTTCAGGGTTAGGATAGAAAAGATATTAATTTTTTTCCTCTATCAATGCAACGCTTTATTCCAGAAACTCAAAGCCGTGTTACTCCCACATCCTGCTGTGTCCAGCCTGTTTGGCTCCACAGAAAGTGTTCCATGTGGGAATCCATAATACCCACCTTGGGACTTTGATGTCCTCATTGAGAGCAGCAAAGGGAGGTCAGGGACAGTCAGAGAGGATGTGAAACTCAATGTGAAACTTGAGTCTTTCCTGGCTCTTGTCCCATAAAAAGAGCTGAGGGAGGCAGAACTGATGTGAAGCAGCTTGGCTAAGAACCATAAATTAATAAGATGACCTGAACTGTACCCAACAAGGACCAAGAAGCTGTAACAGGAGCTTGAACTTGTCCTCAGGAATAATTCAGCAGACCTAAAGTGAGCTTTGTAA